CAGAAGTCAACTGCCCATTGAGAGACTTTTTGCCGTATGAATATACGTTGCCCATTGTGCACCAGGTGGAGATAAGTCTATCGCACACCCCACCTTCTAAAACGAATTGGCCCATGATGATAGGTCTATTCCGAGTAACTAACGGCAGTTCATGGCCCCTCTTCAAATAATTTGAATATCGATATTTTACCAATTTAAAGTTTTACCATCCATTTTGATGAGCAATCCATGAGCAAGCATTTGTTCCTTCAAGAAATTGATTGTAGTGAAAATTTATAATATTTCCTTCTAAGACAGGATGAAATATTAGAAAGTCAATTGGCATTCATTCATGCATTTTTCCAAGCCTAAACATAAGAGTTCCAATTCTGCTCCGGAATTCGCTCCAACTTGCTTGATTAAACACTGCTTCTGGTCGCCCTAGCTTCAAGTCATTAAGTGCTTTATTGTGACGAATTGTTGGGACTTGACAAATTCTTACCATGTATCCCCATTCAGAATCTCCAGCGGTGAAGCTATATCTGCATAGTTACAAGATTTGGTTGCAGTTTGAATTAGAAGAAATGTTTAAAGCAATGGAAATTTCAAATGCATATTTTGGACTGTTTAAATAAAAAAACATACTGTTGAAATCGAAAATACTCCCAATGATCCTATCTGTTCTTACTATCTCCATTTCTGGAAACACTGGAGCCATCTCCATGTCGGCAGTGCGTAATGAGGACGAATTATGCTTAGACCGTTGCAACTCAATACTATGAAAAATGATGAAAATTACTTATTTTTCTTTCGAAACTGTTTGAAGTCTCCACTCGGTACAAATTATCTGGTTTGTAAATGTGAAATCGTGAATTGTTTGTGGGGGGAGTGATACTTGTAATTGTGTCGTCGTCATTCAATTTGCACAGTTCCCGCCCACGTATAAGCTCCGATATCTCCAATCTCGTGTAAATAATTGACTCGCTTTTACCTGTTTAGAGAGCGATTTGTGTACTATTGATGAAATTTAATGGAGATATTGTGGGTTTTAAAGATAAGCGCTAGAAGTAATTTGGTTCATCCTATATGGCTGATACAGTTCATGAGAAGCAGATAAAGAGGGCCAAATGATGGAAGAGGATGTGGAAAAGTACACGGTGAGGAAGCAGGCCCTACGGCAAGATACCCTACTTACAAAGCACTCAGACCAAGTGGAGCACAACCAAACCGATGCCACGTCATACCACATTGCAACCCCATGTCTCACGCGCCAATGCTCTTTTAGTCACAGTCATCGCCCCCTGCAACCGAAGCCACCAAGGCAGCCCAAAAATGAAACTAGACTCATTGTTTCACCTCCACACGGAAATCTTTAGTAAAAGGCGAAAGATTTATCCGCAACTGAGGTGCCAGAGTACCAGCTAAAACGCTCACCTCCGCCCTACCCATTTCCTCGCCACTACCTGCTAATCCCCTCTCACCCTCCACTCATGCATTCTCCATGTGAGTTTTGAGGCATTGGTCCAATGCACTCGCATAATCACCCTCCTCTTTGCCCCCAATCGGCCCAACTACTGCTCCTTCTCTCGTCATTCACTCAAACGCGTCACAATTTTATCCTGCAATTTGTGAGTAGTATGCACACCACATGCCGTCTCGAAGTGCCACCCCCCATCACCTCTGTGATGCCAATCGTCGACATGGGAGGAGTGTGACATGTGTCTTCGCGGTGTGAGCCAAACCACTAGAAGTATAATCAATGTGACTGGCAGAGGTGGTTGTGGAGGAAGGTCTACAGAAATAACACAGAAGTGATATTAGTGGTAGTGGAAGAAGAAGTAGTGGAGTAGAGTAAGTGATATTGCGGCCAAGAGGAGTATGTGGAAGAGTGGTGTGGTGAGCTGATGGAGAATGGGAGAAGGAAAACGGGTGGCGTGAGGACAATGATGAGTGGAGCCAATTCCATGGGCGTGAGGGAAGGAAGAGAATTTGGAGATTGGTGCTTTAAGATATGGGTGTTGCTGTGGTATCTGTGATACAAGTTTATCCCTTCGGATGTACATACACTAAAATTGGAACAAGACAGAGAAGATTAGCATGGCACCTGCGAAAGAATGACATGCAAAATCGTGAAGCATTCAATATTTATCAATTTTTCCAAACATTCCCCCTCCCCCCACTACCTAAGATACCTCTTTTACTTCTGTGAATCGCTCTTCTGTTCCCCACCCCTCGACTTTCTGCTACTTTGATGAACCTTCCCTCTGTGAAGCCCTAAGTCAGCTAAATGGCTAATGATATCTATCAAAAGGCCTGCCATTTAAAATAAATATATTACCAATGCAAATCATATCAATTATATATATATATATATATATATATATATATTTCACGGCAATAGATTTACGGAACATGAAAAACAAGTTTTACGAGCGCGTCAAAAGCAAAATTGAGGAAATCAAATGATGAAGATGTAATAATAGATAATAATTACGGTTACTGTGTTTTGGAGTCTTTCACGGTCTTTTCAGCAATTTCTTTGTTTATTTCGTGTACTACATACAACAACGAGATTATATTTTCGATAACGGCTCAACGCGAACTCGGGTTCAAAATTGCATTACAATGAAGTTGCAATAGTCTACACTACATTCGATCATGTCCATTCGTTGACAAATCCTTCGAAGTTTATCATCAGAAGAGTTATTGATTCGATCTTTGGGTTCAGAAACTCAAAATTTATTTATTTATTTCAAATGGCAGGCTTTGTGATATTTATCATTAGCCTTCAAACTTTGACTTCAGCTTCCCCTAAGGGTGGGGGGTACATTTATAGCAGTTAATTAATAGCAGTTCATTAGCTGTATTCTCGCATCTCAATATCTCTGGCTTTCCGTCGTTGCCTTTAGGGCTGGACACCGAGTCAGGTGGGTCTTCTCCATTTCCTCCTGTGGGTTACATAGAGGGCATGTGGGTTGAGCGTATACTCCCAATCTGTGAAGATGTTTTGCCAAGCAATCGCGTCCGGTACGTAGTCTATACTCAGCAACGGCTTCGATTCTTGGCCAGTCAAGAGTGCCACTGTCCACTGTTTCTCCTTTGGTCAAGCTTTAAGTTCGTTCCACCTTGAGGTCTTGAATTCTCCTCTGATTAAGGCCTTCA